AAATACTAATAAAGAATATAGTGAAAGTCTAAGAAATCAGCTTATAATTATTTTCTACATGCAGATTGAAGAGAAATCAAGATTCCACGGAATTATGACCCTGTGGAATATAGTACGTCTACCGTACAGTATAAGTTTCTCCATAGAGCTAGCTTTTTATTCTCCCCTCTGGCTCTGTTTCTAAGAAATAAGGCTGCAGCTTTTTCACAAATTATTTACAGTATCACAGAATCTTAAATATTTTCTCTATTCCAAAAAAAGAGATTTTTTAATAGTTGACACCAGAGTAACACTAAGTGCCCCCATTAAACTAAACAAATAGTGCATAAGCAGATTCATTGTAGGGTTTCTTTTTGTCTCTAAGAACTTTTTTTTCATAAATAATTTGCAGTTTATTACAAACTCATCAGTATCTTATATGAAAACGCAATATTATTTCTTTTATTAAAAAAAATAAATAACTGCCACCTTAAAATGGTTGAAAATACCAGTAAGAGTTGCCTTTTTCCCATTCCCAATTTCCCACCCACCCATTATGAACTCATTGTAACCCCCCCCCCCCACACACACACACACACACACAGTCACACCCTCTTCCATTCCACTTCTTTTACCCTTCCTTCTGCCAGAGATTGACTTCAACCCTCCAAAATAAAATAGAAATCCGAAATCTAGACTCCTTGTCATAATTTATTATTTTAACAAGACACCAAGTGTTTTCTCACCATTCATTGCATAAAGCAAACCTTCACCTAGAAGAAACTAAATATGTAAATCTAAGGCCAGGTAAAATTAATCTTTAGATTCTCATCCTAATTTGCTAAAAAATTGGGGCGGGTGGGCGGATTTTATTTTTTATTTTTTATAATTGTTAAATTGTAAGTATTACCAAAACATGGACTTTCCGTACACATTTTTTCATTATGTTAATGCCAATATGAATAGATTTTTTTTTTCATATTCTTTTAAATATTTTAAAGAAAATTCTTGCTTAAATTATTAGATATTTATTGTTAATTAACAAATTATCAAGTACACGTATGCGTACGGCACACGCAAAACGAAATGAGGTGGGGTTCTGATATCAATAAATTTTGTATGCATGACTTCTCATCGGCCTTTCCCTAAAGACCCTTTAGTTTTACCTACAAATCCCTCTGTTTTCTGTAAAATATCATAGTTTCCCACCTTCCTAAAAAATTGGGTTGTTCTTGAGACTTGACATGTTCGACAATAAAATAGGTCATATTTACAAAATCTATAAAATATTCCAATAAAATATCCTACCAAAAAAACTGAGGCCTGAACAGGTTTGATAAAATATCCTACCAAAAAAACTGAGGCCTGAACAGGTTTGATATTTAACATTTTCTTAGCACTAAACATTCTCTAAAGCCTGCCTACCATGTTTTATTATTTTTTTTCAAATCTAAATCACACACAGTTGGAGATCGTTTAAACTTGACCAGGTGTCATTTTGCATGTCTATTTTTTATACTTAGTTTTAAAAAATCTTTAAAAACTTACTCATAAATGGCAGTAATGGTATCTAGATGTGTTTATGCTATTATATTTTCTCTGCCTTCTCTATACTGACAAATAATCTTTTCCTTACATATCTAAACTTTTATTGCCGATTTTTCTACATTCTTCACATGGCTCTTTTGCTATGAATAGCGACACGCGACTTTTAATACAGACGGGAGATAACTCTTAAACTTCACCTAAATTCTTACTGAATAAAAATATATGAAAATGCCTTTATTAATATCCAAAAATCAAAATAAAAAACGCCGGGGCGGGACATTTTGAGAGGGGCGGGCGGGGATGAGAATCTAAAGATTAATTTTATCTGGCCTAATATAATCATAATCAAAAACACCAAAAATATTTCATCCCCGTTATTCCTTAGTGCAGATGTACCACTTATCCCCAGCCCCTATATATAGGTATGTCTATATACAGGTGTTTACCAGTCGGTACAGAAATCCCCCACCCTCAATGACAGGGTCCCAGTCTAGGGCGCGCCTTATGTTCTCTGTCTAAAACAAGAATCAACGTTCATAAAGCTGTAAATAATGTTCACTCAAGAATTGAACTTTATCAGTATACACGTAGACTTACTTTTAAATTATAGTTATATATATGAACCTTCTGGATTTCAAGTTACATTTGCATAAATGTGATAATTCATAATGACATGTATAGGAATTATTTATAATTTCATTTAATTTTAAATATTTTTTTTAATATGATATCACATTTTGATGAGTGCTCCCTGACCATGTGCAAAGTCCAAGCCACTTATTACTCAGTACCTATGCTAGACTTATTAATTGATACATACGAGGGCCGTTCAAAAATTACGCGGACTGTGCTATTATTTACACTTACAGACGTCATATAGTTATGAAATTTCACAGAAATATGTATCTTAAAGATTCCAATAAATTTTGGGCAAAATATCTGTATTTTAAAAAAAATCTACTAAGATTATCGGTATGTCGATATCGCTGATGGAGAGGTACGGAGCACGACAAAAAATCTGAAGCAAAAGCATGCGGAATCCAAAATTTAACTCATCTACTTTCTATAGTTCGAGATATTTTTCGACAATTTTCTCAAATGTATATCTAAATTGTTCTATTATTATGTATTTAAATTTCTGGCGTGATATTTGAAGTACTAACAGAAATAAATGTGATTTTTCTCTGATGCGATTACCGTGAAAACGACTGTGAAAATGACGTCTCCTGAATCGACGGCGCACCACACTTTCGTTAAATTATGTGTAATGCTCGAGATATCGCCAACATAGATCCAAAATATGCATAATAAAACATGTAGTAAACTAGGGTATTCGTGACATTCGTCCACAAATAGCAAATTGAAATTTTAGATTGTTAGACCTCTGTAAAAAAAAGGCTATACGAGAGGACGGGAAGAAGATTATCGACAAAAACTTTATCCGGACTGTAAATAACGTGATTGAGAGTCACTAATATCACACTATATCTGATAAATACCTGCCGTTTTTGGTTTTAAAACAAAAGAAGAATATTCTTTACTTGCTTAATAGATTTTAGCTTGACAAGAAATGTTGTTCGGATGTTGAGTAGATAAGGTAACTCAAACTGTACAGGTACTCTTGGGAAAATGTTGAGAAAATGAAAACTCAGTCACATATTTTTTTTATAATGCCTGTGACGTCGAAGATTTTGCTGCTCTATGACTTAATGATATATCCTGAAAAATCACTCAAAATTGATACCAATTTACAACATTTTGATTTGAAATTTTGAAGACCATATAAGTAAAGATTCTTTTATATTATGTGTGACATTTTGCCCGATTATGTCGTCAAATATTATTTCTGTGCGACAAGTCCGCGTAATTTTTGAATGGCCCTCGTATGACATAATCACATAAAATCAAGCCTTGTAACTCTGTATGCTTGCATTTCCTTGCAAATTGTCTATATCAAATAAGTGATCAGATTTATGAAACAAAATATTACTGTATAAGAAAAAAAAATTCTGGACTCTTTAACTTTTAAATGTTTTTTTTTTCTTTTTTTTCAGGATTATCAGCATACAGATTAAAGGTGTACTATTAGGGTCTACCAAGGCTTCACTGTATTCAAAATCATATGGGGAAATACCCTAACTAAAATTCTGCCACCTTTAACCTCTTGTTTATCTTTTCCTATACCAGAGCACCAATAATTGTGTAACTGTGATTCTTAAATTAAAACTAAATGTGCAAATTATTATCATCCAATATTACCATTACTAAAATCAATGCATACCCCAATAACAGGAAAGTCTTGGAGAATTTCAAACAGTGTGTCTTTCTGTAAGTAATGGCTTAAAAATTAGGTCAGATAAATAACTAAATAGAAATGTACCAGCTGAAAATTTCACCTTCTTCCATACACCACAGTATTTCATAATCTATCATTTTCATTATTAATACATGTTATTATAATATGCATTTAAGCCCTACCACTATGGGATAAGCCAATACCAAAAACAAGGGCCTGAGACTGATCAAAATAAAATTCATATTATTATAACTAAAATATATGAATTACTGTAAAATCACAAATTTTCAAGAGGATTTTATTTTGCTGTTTTCATGGTAACTATTTCTGCCAAGAAATGTTAAATCTCAAAATATAAACAACAGCACACTTATTCCATGTTGACCATCAAATCTCCAGGAACCAATATTGCTTTCTCACATCTGGAAAATTTGCCCCCATAAAAAATGTGATTTCACAGTATCAAATTGATGCATTTAACAGATCCACCTATCCATGCTACTGAAACTAAAATATAAGATTTTTAGTTTTATAACAAATTCAAAATCTACAGTTAAACACTATTTTATTCATTTCTTTAGTGGAATAATACCAAATAAAATGGCCGCTCATCTAGAAGTTCCAATAAGGAATTGCGCTAAATGGGATTAAAAATTATGTTCAATCAATAAAATTTCACATAACAAATGTAATTATTTACCAAAATCACCACACAAAATTCTCATTGGTTCTGTATTACCAAAAATATGAGAAATTCTGAAAATCTAGAACAATGCAATTTTTGTTTCACCAACATCTGAATTCCATCGACCTAATAAACTGTAGAGTAATTCTTTTTTCAGATACTTTGAAAAGCTTCACTTAGTAGATTTACAAAACACATTCATCATCAAACCTGAACATGATGAGCTTTTATATAAATGGCCAATCAGAGGATGATCATATTTGATTTAACAGATCAATCAGAAAAGGCCTATTATTAGTGTTGTTATGATAGTAGCCGACTATCGAAAAATCGTCGTTTAAAGGCCCAGATCGGCGACAATTGATTGTAAATATTATCATCGATAGATCGCTATATTTTCAAGCGGTATTTTTCAAGCCGAGCAGGTTTAACTTTTATATTCACCAAAGGAACATCTCTCTAATCGGCGGTAAACAAAATGGCGAACGTGGATGGTGAAGAGGTTGACGCCGAATTATATCCATATCCTGGTGTAACACAATCTAAAGTTTGGAGTTTTTTTGGCTTTCGGAGAAAGGGGGATGGGCCTCCATGCAAAAATAATTTACAGATGGACACGGTTATTTGTAAATTGTGTAAAAAGTAGTATGCAGATAAAGGTAAATTGAAGTTTGCGGTCACATGTCATGTAATTCTACTCGTGCTGTCAAAATTTTAATGAATAAAGTTAACCTTTTTTAATACTTCAAAATATTGATTATATAATCGATTGTGTTCTTCCGATTCAATTTGATAATCGATAGTAAAATTTGTCCGATTTTACAACACTACCTATTATTCACTTGGTTACTTACCATGAAAGCTTTCTGAAGTTTGGCCAAGTCTTTCATTGTGAGCCGGTTTTCAAGCTTGTTATCAATAGATATAGCCTTCCTGTAAAATAAAAGGAATAACAAATTGATTGACTGTCAGGTGAACGAGCTGTTCTCTCACCTTGAATAAATACATTTTGATACTATACAATTATTGCTGTTTTTTGAGGTCAATACAATGATATAGCCATCTGAGGAGTACAATATTCACAGAGCCCGAAGGGCGAGGTGCATAATGTACTTTGAAGATTGCTAAATCATTGTATTGATTGAAAAACAGCAATAATTGTTTTATTATATGATTCACTGAAAAAATGATATATTACAGCTCATTACTTGTTTGAATTTAATGAAGTCCTAGCCAAATGCAAGAGAGAAGCAGATTTAAAATGTGAATAAACCTTACCAGTCGTATCAATTTGAAATGTTTTTTTTTTATATCAATTTTAGTTACCATGAAAGAAATATACAATGTCAGTCTTTTTTTATAGGATAGATTTTGAAAGGAAGGAATATTATCAGGGAAAACTGACTGCCAAAAAGTAAAAGAAAATTGTTGTTCAGTAAAAGTGTTGGAGGGGGTCCCTGCATCCCCTCTTACCACCCTCACCCTAAAATATATATTAGCTTATGTTTTGTTCACATGAAAAAAAAACAGAGTCGTTTAAATAGCTTTCCAAAACAATTTGTATCAATTTGGAATTTCCCAATCTATTTTTAGATCAATGTGGAGGAAATAAATCCTTGTATTGACCTGGAACGTCACGTGCAGGTTAATACAACGTAGTATTTTTCTAACATAGTTGGATGTCAGCCAATCAGAGAGATGGAAATTATTCAATCATATAATAAAAAGGATTCTTTTTTTTTTTATTTATATAGACTTCTTCATTAATTCTAGCTTGATATGTACAATGTACAAAATAATGAATTTAATTTATTCATTCATTTAATTCTATGAAATTTAGTCCATCAATTTAATTATTACTGTAAAATTCTTCTACTGCATCAACACCTTTTCCATGTGTGTATTAACATCTTCATAAAAACAAATGATACCACAGCAACATCTATCACAAACTCATAAAATATTTCCAACTTCCATTAAGTAAACTTCACATTACAGCAATACTGCTCTTCTGCAGGGCAAATGCTATGTTTTGGTGAATTATATGACTAATTAAGAAACAAATATTTACTAGGATTCCAATATGTACTCATTTAATTACATCCATTGACAAAAAAGTTGGCAAACCTTCTTTACTCTTCCAGCAAAAGAGCAGTACTGCAGTTATCAATATATAATGTAAGTGTATTTTACTACGATATCTTTGCTAATCAGCTGTGCTCTTACACCTTACGAATACACATGAACTCTGCATGCAACCATCTCCTTGATATATTTTACATGTCTATCGTGCATTGCCCTTAAAATCCATGTCATATACATCAGTTACCATTCCCGTACTATAATAACACTGGTGCAGTACTTACAACTTCTCTAATTGTTTTTCTCGTTTTGTTTTGTGCTTTTTTGACACAGACAATATAGCCGGTGTCAACAAAAATGTCACCCTCATCGAAGATTCTGTCCTGATTAAATTTCAATTTAAAAGTAAAAGGATACCTCTATAAACCAGTCCCATTAAAATGATTTCCCTAGTAAAAATTATATCCATGTACGTATACATGCATCAAAAACACTATTCATAGGATAAACTATTTAAGAGCCAGTCCGCGAGAAAACCATGCAGAACTGTCCAAATCAAAGGTTGTCATATCTTAATGAAATTTGGTGGGTAGTTAGACTTTATAATATGTTATTAAAAAATGACCAAAAAAATTCCCATCATTCAACATGGCAGCCGTAGGCAGCGCCACCTCCTTTTTGCACATTTAAGTGCAAATGCACTTAAAAAATTCAAGAAAAATGGTAAAATTCACATTTGATTTATTTTACTCAAAATTAAACTTGCATTTCCATTAAGGTATTTTGAATAACATAAGACTATGTTCTTTCAAAATTGACATTTATCATAATCAAATATTCAATATATCAAAGGGCAGACAACTCTTGAAAATTGGCATGATGCCAATTTTCAAGAATTGCCAAAAGTATTACAAATTTAATGCCCAAAATCTTCCAAGACCAATCTTTGAAATTATTTTTTTTTATTTTATTGTTCAAATATAACTCTAAACATTATCTTTGCCAAATATTGAGCTTGGGAAATAATAAATAATTGAGATATGGGGATTTACAAATTGCCAATTTTCGAAAAAATTGCTCAAACTCAAGTGGGTTACAAAGTCAAATATAGTACTTTATATTATAAATAATTGTTGTTAGATGTTGAAACATGTAAAAATTTTCTTTGAAATAATAATTAAGAGTGAAAAATATTAAAATTAAAAATTAAATAAAACTAAATTGTCAGAAATTACCCCCAATATGAGGATTAGCATTTTGCCAATTGTTTAGAATGAAAAAAAAAAACATAATAAATTGTATTGGCTTACTTGCAATTTTTCAACAATCATGAATATATATGTTCCTTACATTTTGTAAGTTAGTTTCTTTATAATAAATAAAAGGGAAATTACAAGTATTTAAATTCAAACGGACTCAGTATCATTCATATAAAATTTGAGATTTGAACATATAAAATTTGAGCCTTCAGTAAGTTGTTTGCTAGCTGCAGAACTGTAGCTCTCCGAAAAAATATATATATTGATAGACCGCAGGGCTACAGTGCCACCTGTATTTTTATTGCGCATAAAAAATGCGCTTGGTTCTAGATTAATTCTTCCAAATTCTTACCTCAATTGCAAAAACGGCTAGATTTCAATAAAGCTCCTTACTCCTTTATCAATTAACGGCATGGTTTACATCACAGGTGCTGGAGGACAGGACCCCCCCCCCCAATACAATACAATGTGATATAATCTATCCTATCAATTTAGAAAATTTGTTTAAAGTTACATTTTATAAAAATATCTACCCTCTCTATATGATTTTTATATAGAAAAATGTTGGGTAGATTTAATAGAACGTTTGTTTTCGGTAATTTTTCGATTTGCTGGTATAGATCTTATCACAAATACGGCAATGAAAGATATTTTATGAGAAAAAATTCGAAAAAGCCTAGGGGTCTATATCGAAGGGGGGTGGGGGGGGGTCCTGTCCTCAAGCACCTGTGGTTTACATCTGTACGAAGCGCGTTAGACTGAAATATCTTCTCAATTCCAGGTCCAGGAGGGCTATTAGAAACAATTATAAGGAATGTTTTGTTGTGGAAACGGTGAAAGAATATGTTAGGAACACACAGTTGGTAAAATTTTGAGATGACAGTTTTAAGAACACGGAGAAATAAATCGAGAAACAGCTCATTTTTTTTGTGCGCAATAAATATACAGTTTTTTCAATGGGTGGCACTGTAGCTCTCCGGTCTATCAATATATGTTTTTTTCGGAGAGCTACAGTTCTGCAGCTAGTTGTTTGCTTTCTGTCAATTTTAAATTGGTACAATCTTATAAAAATACTGACAGGGGATATTATACAAAAAGCTCCATAAAGGAGGTTAAGAAAATGAAAGATGCTGGAGTTTACTCTTATCCCACTTCCCGAATCAAACAATTGTCTTCTTTTTTCGCTTGGCAAATTCTTTTCAGGTAAGTTTAATTTTAACCCCCCCCCCGGACCCTTTCAAAATCGTTTCTACGTCACTGCTTTGACTGCAATTTTTGTGAATAAGAGATTTTATGAACATGAATAAATCAACTTTATTTAGATAATGGGGGATTGAATTTCTAAAATACATATTGTTTATAAATTTGTTCATTTAAGGTGATTTAATCTGAAATATTTGAATAATATAATACGTTTTCCGTTCCGTTTTTCTTTCCTCGTTTTAGCAATTAGAACCCTTTTCATTTTTCACTATTTTATCCATTTCAATATTAGTATGTAAATTGTGGAGAGGTGGATAGGGTTAAACGATTGGGTACTAGATATACTCGTATATTTAATATCCTGACCTTGATTGACTGACACGCCCCTCCCCCAACTGTTTTCAGTGGATACATATAACAATAAAAAAAACAATTTATCTCTGTCTGCAATGGTACATGTATTAATAACACCATTATGGTTATTCAGAAAAAGTATCAAATATTAATTTACACAGCCTTAAACAATTTTATTAATAATGTTTTGAAAATAATTTTGGCAAAATTTGATAGCCCCCCGCCCCCCAATTTGAATAAATATGAATCCAGTTGTAACGTGAAGCGGTCACCCATCCAAGGGTTAAACAGGCTCGCCGTTGCTTAACTTGAGTCCTAGTCTTAGAGCTTTCTAAGCAGATTGGAACCTGACTTCAGATACGGCAACCTCTGCCGTCCACAGACACGAAGTCTGTGTATGGACACTAAGTCCTAGCTCTAAGACTTCCTGAAGCAGGACACCAGTCACTACGCTGCCACCAACTTTGTAACGTGAAGAAGCGGTCACCCATCCAAGGGTTAAACAGGCTCGCCGTTGCTCAACTTGCCTGGAGGGAGACTCTACCGCATCACCAGAAAAGCTAGCTCACTGGCGAGGCAGTACAAGTTCCCTATACATGTATACTGACCGCTACACAGTCTTTTATCATGTTTATAGTCAGTATTAAATTTTTACCACTTTGTACTGCAAACTAGCAAAGTTTTGGCTGCAGTAACGACTCATACTTTCTGGGGGGGGGGGGGGGGATAGTACCCTCCCCCGAATAATTTTGCCAATATTTATCGTGGAGGGTCCTATATCGGTGGGGTACCTAAATTGGTGGCATCTCCATTTGAGCTGATGATTTATAATGTGAGGTCTGACTTTATCAATATATGAATGTTACGTAACACAGTAGTTTAAAGTATGTAATGTAAAATTAAAAATATTCCTAGGAATGACGGTGTTTGGTTAACTCAAAAACTTACTAAATTAATGAAACCTAACCAATTTACAAGTAGATTAAAATTACAAATTATTTTTGAATTTGTTGAGAGTATGCAATCAAATACCTGTTTGTATTCTTATATTTTCTCAAATGATGGAAGAAGAAGAAGAAGAAGTTGCTAAGACACTTAGAAAACTAAGTGCGTTTATATTGAAAATATATGATTTTAGTTAGTCATTCCTCCATGATTTTTCTATCCCTCACTTATTTCATTATTACATGTTTCATATGTGTTTTTCTTTTCCTTTTCATTTCTGATTATGTATATCATATACTTGTCCTCTGACCTGAATGAATATGTTGCAAATATTCTTCATTGTCCTCATGTACCTGAAATGGTTTGAGTGAATAAAATGATCTTGAACTTGAACGGGGCCAGGTGCCTTAAACAAAATATCAAATGTATACTTTGATGAAAAAAAAATATGTTATTATTTGATTAAATTTCCTATTCAATTGTACTTGTTAGGAAAAATTTTGTATCTGTTAAACGTTAATTACCATGAAATACAAGTAGATTCCTCGAGGACAGAACCCTATAGAAAATATACCTACTACATGTATAGTATATGCCCAAAATAGAAAAAATTAAAAAAACATCTAATGAACTTTTTTATTTTTTTATTACTTTCTAATTCTTGGTATTTTTTTTATAGTTGATAATACTGGTTGTCCCCCCTCCCCCACACTGAAATGGCTTCCTATGGGCCTGTTACATGTATTTGTTTATTCAAGCTAAATTGTTATTTTTTACATTCAAGTATCTTAAAATAAGTTTTCCCTCTTTCATAGTGCAATAATACTCCACAACAATTCCCTTGGTGAAGAAAAAATGATCTTACATAACTTTCATCTTTCCATATTGACATACCTGTCATTTTTTTTACCCAATAATACAAAAGAGTTCCAACAAGGGGAGATAACAATTTAACTCCAGCAAATTGGTAACAAGAGGGTAAAATAAGCAAAAGAAAGTTATATGAAGTGTCCAAATCAGTTATTCCTCTTCTAAAAAATATATTAGATTAAGAATCTTCTTTTTTTCTTTAAATATCATAGAAATAATCCAAAAATATGGTAAAAGACTGTTATTTAAAATATGTGAAATTGTAGCAAAATATGGTATTTCAAAGTTAATTTACAGCATGTAGATATTATTTCCCAAGCTCAATATTTTAATACAGAGTAGACCTAAGATCATTCTTAAAGTAACAATTAATTTGATTTAATTTCAACCTTGGTCTTGAGAGAAACGAGCGTCTAAAAATGGCTAAAAAATCATACTCATTTACTTAGGATCTATAAATAGATGTGTAAAAAATAAAATATTCATTTGATTTAAGTTTTTCCTCATTAATTGTGTTAATTGGACAATGACTTTGACAATAAAACAAAATTTGAAAATAAACTGATGACAAAAGGTAACTTTTTGACTTGATCAATTTGCATACATTTTCCATTAAATTTTGTGTGATTTTCGACAAATATGCAAATGAGCTGTTACTAAAAATAGAAACAGGGTTCGACATTTTTTTGTGGATATTCTGACTTCTACCTTTATGTAGAAAATTTTAAGTCACTAAAAATTCCTAAGTTGCAACCTTCCATTTGGACGATTTTTTGAATTTTGCATGGTTTTCTCGCAGACTGGCTCTTAAAACCGCACATTTATTGCTTGGTGTAATAAAAATATTATAATATATGACACTGAAAAATGCAGACTTGTCGAAATCCGTCTGTCCTGTCGGTATTTTAATTTGTAAAAGCAATTAAATCATAAAACACATCAATTTTATGTCTCTTATTAAAGACTCTCTATCCCAAGAAAGGAAATTTGTAAGATTGAAGACTGTCAACAATGACAGAGGATATTTTGGGGCTGTTATTCATAAGCCTTCCTGGTCTGATAAAACTTTGTCCGGTCCAACAGAACATTTGTGTTTGCCAGACCAAATGTCTGACAGTGATTTAAAATTTTGACAAGTCTGAAAATGCATAATTGAACATGACTGTACATCTTCTCTGAACAGGACATGCATGTGTAATACTCAACATTAATCAATTTTAAAATTGCAATTAAAGAGGATAAAATAAACAACTGTAGTATCTGTGCGACTGTCCAGTGGTACGACTTATTGTCTGTATTACGTCAGATGGCGGGATAGTCGCACTCTCTCTCTTCTACACCTGGATGCCGAGGAGACCGGACGTGTCTGGGACAGCAGCGGAGCGGGAAGTCGACCCGGGCCAGAACCCACTGTGATTGTGTTTGTATATATGTTGGATGTTATTAAATATATTGTAAAGCACACCCCCTAGACGGATACTTTACTGGCGCCCGATTCGCGGGGCCCGGGATTCCCGTACTGCTGTCAGGTATTTTTAGGCATCGGTTTTAGCCGCCATTTTTGGTGCTGCTAGGTACGTGAGAGCACATGTTGATTTTTCATGTATTTTTCTTGAATCGATTTTTGGAATTGATTTGTAAATATTGTCTGTGATTTTACTTGATTATTTGTGATGTTCTTTTATGGATATGTCTGTTGAAGAGGCCGTGTCGGCCTTAGGCCTGGACACGCGCCCGGCTATCAATAGTGTCATGCAGTCAGACAGATTTAACCCTCCTGTTCCGTGCAGTGTGTATGGTTCTGTAGAAGGGGTTTTTTCACCATATGTTTATAACGGGAGCGAGCATATTGCCTTTCATCACACACCTTTTGCTCAGTCATAGTCAGGTCACATGGGAGGGGGATGGGAGGGGGTTGCCCCTGGGGGTCCCTCTACACCTATGCCCGGCCTACATTCGGGCATCCCCTGTGGGGAGGGTAGTGTGTTACATGGTATGTCAAGGAGAGAGTTAAGGTTTGCCCAGCCCCAATGTAGCTCACCAGGGATGATGACCAGTGATTCCCTGGAGTCCTCTTTAGGTAGCCTGTGTTGGTGTGGCTCACCTGGCAGCACTGTGAGTTGTAGCCCACCTAGGTATGAATACAGTGAGGTTCCCTTGAGTTTAGGTTTAGAACATCGGTATTCTGTAGGTCATGTGCTCTCAGCTCGTAGCCAACCTGTCCTTGTGGGAGACACAGCTAACCTGGGGGACATAGGAGTTAGACCAAGCTTTGGTGAGGGTATACCCCACTCACTTGACCCCGCCCCTCCAAAACATACACTGTTTGCCAATCAACAGCCTGTGAGGCCTGCACCGCTCACTTCTGTGTATGATCTGAGGCCTGTTGACCCTTTAGGGCTCACCTGGAACCCTTTGTCTGTACAAACCCAGCCTAGACCCGCGGACTTTAGTGTGTCCTCGCTTCCTGGGGATGATTTTCAACCCCGGACCTCAATGCCACACACTACCTCTGCCCGAGACTTGGTGAATACTGGGGGTGGACATGCCCAACCCCCACTGCCCGATCACACCCAATCCCTATGTTTCTGAGATGAGGATATTCAAACCTCACACCTAGGTATGACCATGCCCAGTGCATCACAGCATCATAGTGTCCCCATGTCATCGACTTGTAGTCCTGCCTATCTTGATACCCCAACCTGCCATTTTGGAAGGGAGGGGGAGAGGATAGCACATGTGCATGGTACAGCCAAGCTGGGACACTATGCTAGTCAGCCTGTCCCAGCCCACCAGGATAGCAGCTTTAATATACCTGCACAAAACACCAATAAGGCAGCTGCTGGGAGTAAGCCCAGGTATAAGAACCTTAGGTACGATGGTAAGACCAGCTGGAAGGCATTTTTGCACAAGTTTGTGAGGTTGTCTCGTAGTGTGCTGTGGACCGAGGAGGAGCAGCATGACCAATTCTGTTTTTCCCTTGAAGGGGCAGCAAGCGAGTATTATACCTTGTTGTTAGAAACCAGTAGCCACCTCCGCCTAGATGAGATCTTGCAGAGATTTGAGAAGCGTTTTGGACCCTCTGCCCCCGATCTCACTCATCAACTTAACTACCAGTCTGCCAGCCAGAACCCTGGGGAGTCGCTTCATCAATGGGCCGACAGAGTCCTGACTTTGGCGACACGAGCCTTCCCCAGTGTGCCTGATGTGCACACTCACGCTATACCTCGGCTATGCTATGGAGCTGAGGACAGAGATGCTGGTATTTACGCACTTGATGGGCATCCCCGGACAGTGGAGGAAGCCGTGGAGCGCATGCAATACTATCTGGGACAGCAGCGGAGCGGGAAGTCGACCCGGGCCAGAACCCACTGTGATTGTCTTTGTATATATGTTGGATGTTAATAAATATATTGTAAAGCACACCCCCTAGACGGATACTTTACAACAAAATCAACAACAAAATAAATTTCTTATAAAGCTTACTTTTCTTTGTCCGGGGTTTTACTCCGTGAGGATTTCATCAGGTCTGGCGTCTTAGTCGTGTCCAGCTTCCCAGAAGTAGCCACGGTGGGGGTTGTGGCTGTCGTCGACATCTTCTCAGATTTGGCGGATATCTAGCAGGTGCCCGTTTTCCGTTACGACATTCAAGCATAGACAGAGCGTGTAGCATCAAAACTTGCAAACTTAGAATAAAATGTTTTGTTGATTATACTTCATTTTAAATAGTTATCTAAACTAAATCAATAAATAAAATCTGTCAATAGATCTCAGCGATAATCCTCGCTGTCCGCCATTTGTAAATCAAGTTGCCAAGGATCTATAGAAATAGAATACTTCCGATATGGAAAAGAAATTTCCGGATTTCTCTATTTCCATACAGAATTTTGGATCGGATGAAATAAAGAAAAGAAAAAAAAACAAGATAAAATAGATGTGCCATATAATTGCACGATGATAAGTTTGTTTTTTTACATTAATTTTTGTACAACTTTTATAAAAAAAAAAAAAAAAAAAGTTTCCTCGTTGTACATGTTGTATAAAACAGTAGCGTAAAAGGGGGTGTGGTGTGTATTTTTGCTCTCCTTTTACATTAAATTTTTAGCTCACCTCGACCAAGTTGAGATGAGCTTATGCTATACCATCGGCGTTGGCGTCGGCGTCCCAGGTTAAAGTTTTAGGAACAAGTCCATTCCCAGGTGTTTATAACCTCTACCAGGACAAAACTTGCATGGACGATGCATCTAGGGATGAACACTACCAGAATTGCTTTGGATGCTGGATCTGGCCTACATTTTCATTCCCAAGTAACTATAAGACCATCGTCTCAAGCCACGGTCCGGAGTCCGCATGTAGGTCTCTCCAGAATGGGAGAGGAGCGTACATTTTGGCCGTGGTTTGCGACGATGCTATAAAACATACCCGGACCAAACTTGCATGGATGATGCATCTAGGGATGGACACTACCAGACTTGTTTGGGATGCTGGATCTGACCTACATTTTCATTCCCAAGTAACTAAGTATAAGACCTAATCTAGGGTGCATCTAGGGATGGACACTACCAGACTTGCTTTGGATGCTGGATCTGACCTACATTTTCATTCCCAAGTAACTATAAGACCTACCCGGACCAAACTTGCATGGATGATGCATCTAGGGATGGACACTACCAGACTTGCTTCGGATGCTGAATCTGACCTACTCTTTCCAGTTGAGTGACCAAGTTAAAGTTTTTGGAGCAGGTCAATTTTCAAGTAATTTCAAGCCCAACCCAAACCAAACTTCAGCCACGTAGCATCGTTTTTGAAAGTGGAGGGGGGGGGGGGCAGCCAGAGAAAAAAAAATGTTACTTACTTGAAAAAGTTCACAGGCAAAAAAAAAATATATATATATATATATATATATATATATATATATATATATATATATATATATATATATAAAAATATAAAAAAGGAAATTGCCCAAACTTTTAAAATCCTATTTCGTGGGGGGACGGGAGTGTAGAGACCAATTTTTTTCAATGCCAACTTCTCTCAGTACCCATTTGTTCATACATATATTCAACACTACATTTCCCTTAAATCACTTTCCTGTAGTATAAAGGAGGGGGGGGGGGCAACCAGCCTTTCACTGAACATTTCTAATATATAGTAAAAGTCATGTTGGGAAAAAAAGTGTGGTGGCCAGCCCCCCCCCCCCCCCCCCCCCCCCCCCCCATTGTCCCCCCCCCCCCCCGTTGCTACGTGCCTGAAATAACTTGCATGGATGATGCATCTATAGGGATGGACACTACTAGACTTGCTTCAGATGCTGGATTTGTCCTTTACATTTTCCAGATGAACAACCAGGTTTAAGTTTTTGGAGCAGGTCTTTTCCAAAGTAACTTAAAGCCCTACCTGGACCAAACTTGAATGGATAATGCATCTGGGTATGGACACTACTAGGCTCGCTTCGGATGCTGGATTTGGCCTGTATTTTCAGATGAGTAACCAGTATTATATGCTTGGAGTAGCTTTTTAATTTTATGGCCTGTTATGATTTAACTTTCTGTCAGCATTTGACTCAATGATAAATTGCATTTGCTGACAAGGTCATTGTATCCACAGGCACCTGACGTTAATAAAAAAAATATATACCCCCTACCAAATATAAGAATAAGTAACGCGTCAGGTGCTTGTGATTGTACATATTGACCATAGAACTTAAATGCTGACTTTAAAACGAGACGGCTGATATTCTTGTTTCATCAACTTGTTTGTGAATGATTTACTCGTTTATGAAATTGTTCATTCCTAGAACATGCTATTGTGTATCGAATCAACTGAGATATATTAACCCCATATGCAGATGATGAAGATATAATACTGCATAAGTAATTAAGGGAAGTTGCATGACGATTGAAAATTGAAGTTGATGTCATCACGTTTATCGTAAGACTTGGTTTTAAGATTACCATTAATTTTTTCAAGTAAAATATCCAGATATGAAACAGAACAATTTGTCATGCTCTGCGGTATGTTTTATTTCATGCTCACTTGGAGATATGCTGATATCGTATCGAACAAAGAAAGGAAATAACCATTGTTAACATACAATACGTCGTAAATATATCTAAATGTCGAGTTGAAGGCCATAGCAAGTGTTTTCTTCTTTTAACGTATATGATTGTGAAAAAAAAATCTGGGGCCCGTTTCACAAAACTATCTTATGACTAAGATCTGTCTTAAGACTGAAAATTATCGTAAGATTGCACCATATCCGTTTCACGAAACTGTCATATCTTATGATAATCTTAAGATCTATCATAATCTTAAGACGACCAGATACATGTCTTAAGTCTAAAGTGAAACTTGCGACATGTATTGCGACTATGTATTTTGGCTGAAAACCAAAGGACATTTAAAGAAAACGGTTTTTAGAGATGGAAAAATCATTTGGACTATATCAGGCCAGTCAGAACAATGACACCCCCCCCCCAATAAAAAATGACGAAAAACATACGATAGAAAAACTAAAATGTGCGTACTTTGTGTTTTCCTCTTTATTCATTTCAAAAATAATTCTTTGGTTGTACCCCCTCCCATTTGAAATTGCAACCCCCCCCCCAAAAAAAGCCAAATACATAATTCTTAGGATCATGTGCATTTTCATGGATTTGATTAGTCCATGAATTTTACTTTGATTTATTTTGTTACAGTGTGGCAGACAATATATAAATAATTATTGTATTTCTCTTATTGTGGTGATTTAATTTCAAAGTAAACATTTTATTCAGTCGTACACAGGCACGTAGCATCGTTTTTGAAAGTGGGGGGGCCAACCTAAGAAAATTTTTTTTACTTACCTGAAAAAGTTGACAAGCAAAAAAAAAAAAAAAAAAATTAAAAGTTGCCCAAACTCGAAAATCCTATTTCGTGGGGGGGGGGGGGGGGGGGGGGGGGGGGGGTAATGGCCAACTTTTTCAAAGCCAACTTACTATCACTTCCAATTTTTTCCTTAAAATCCTTGCTATCACTATACTATGGTTATAAGTGGGGGGGCCAACCATCCTATCAATGAACATTTACTATAGTAAAGGTTAGGTTGAGGAAAAATGTGGGGGGGCCCGGCCCCCCCTGGCCCCCCCGGATACTACGTCCCTGGTACAAAATTAGATGAAAATAAAATGGTATAATTTCTGGGGTATCATCATTAATCTACAGGAATGTGTATGACAATTCAATATGCTGTAATATTTGATGCTGCCTTTTTATTATATTGTTGAAACCGTAAATTTGATTTGAATTTTTTCTTTCGTTTCTCTTCTTCATCTGTTAGCATCGATATTTTGTTACAGTAGTTGAAGCGTTTCAAAGACACCTGCATCGAATTAATTTTATGAACGAATTTTGAACACGATTTGGTGTACATGTCTTAAAAGGAGTCATTGTTAAAAAAGTGTACGTTATTTGCAAAGTTTTAGATACGTACACTAGTAGTTTTAGTTAAAAGTAATCACACTTAATTAAAGTTGATGCTATAACATGTTGTAAACTAAATAATGAGACATTATTTCAGTATTTCAAAGAAAATTAATGAAAGACTTCGTGAAAACATATTTTTAGAAAATTCCTGTGAAATTGAAGAATGGAATTTGTCATAAGACTTATCTTAAGATTTCTTATACTTAAGATAGTTTTGTGAAACAGCAATGACAAATCTTATGATTGTCATAAGTCAGATCTTAAGATGATCGTAAGATCTATCTTAGGACAAATCTTACGATAGTTTTGTGAAACGCGGCCCTGCTTCATATGAATACAAAAATAGGTCTGCTAATAACGTGGCGCATTTGGTACCCATGGCAATTCCAATGGATTAATTGATTTCCAAAAACCACGTAGATATTGTCAAACATAAATTCAAGCAAATTTTTGATTTCAAATTCATAGTACTTGTGGAAACAAACATATGATGTCATAGGTTTTTGCAAAAACTGTAATTAGTTTAAATTCATACCTAATAGAACAATATCTTTTGGAAGAATGCTTTACAATAGGTATAATGATAGATATTGTTAAGTAAAAGAATTTAAATGCATATTTTCTTTATTCAATCAATTATTCAATCTTTTAAAAATGTTGACAAGGGCAATAATTCCTTTTAAGGTCTCTTCGTTCAGGCATTTGCTTTCTTGTACTTCTAATGTAAAATAGTTTCCCTGATATTCACAATTCAAAGCTAAAGTATATATCTTATACGTAGGAAGTATTCAGGAACATTCAGCATCAGAATTATGCATTTTAACCAGTCTTTATATATTTTTCAAAATGCTGTTTACAAAAAATGTGTGATTTTTTATGTTGACATACACTTCTGTTTATTCATGTTTCGCATCTTAAATAATATGGTGACCTATAAGTTTTTTGCAATTATTGGGAAATTGAAAGTATTTTGAATGAAAATATAAGCAGTTTTTGTACTTTGAACCATTAAAATTGTGAGGGTGGAAACCCCTCAAAGATGTACTACGGTCAATTAATTTAGAATTTTTAGATTTAGTCCCTTAATATAGTGAGATACAATAAACTGCATCCTCTGTTGACCTGACACACCCACAGTATACGTGCTCTTTGACATGATCGGATAATTTAAAACGGAAATAAACTATTCAGAAAAAATGCTTCACAATTTGTATGAAAGATGTCATTTGTCAACATTGGACCACTGTATATTGTAAGTGCAATTAGCAAGGACATTGCATCAACCGTAGAATTTGCGAATTTTTTGCTTTAAAGGAAATTATTTATATCCTTATGTCATCAACGTATTTGACAGTAGCCCACCTCTTTTTGAAATTGATTCATCTCAGCTGTAGGAGAGACAGTGGTGGATCCAGGAATTTCGTAACGGGGGTGGGGGGGGTGGGGGTGGGGGGGAAGAGGCAGGTGGTTTGGGGGCTGCACTGAAGATCCCCGGTGAGTCTAGGGCAATAGCCTGGAGGGGGTCCGGGGTCAAAGCTGAAAAATTCTTATAAATCTTAAACAGATCTTTTTCCTTGATTTAAGGATGATTAACATATGTTTTACATACAAAAAATTACTCAGTAAACGTCATATGTGGATGACATCATGGTAATTATTGGCAAAAAGAAAAGTTGAATTCATCACGTTGCCTTTAGCAGGGCAGATAGTTTTGCATCAAATTCTTTAAAACTTCCATAAGTAAATAGACAGGATAGACTCTGCATTGTAGTTATATTTCGAGTTTATTAAGATTAGACTATCACTGAAATTCTATCTTAATGTCGAATTAAAGGCCATATGCACAGCAAAAAACCTTTAAATTTTATTTTGAAAATTTTAAAATAAATTCTGCTTTATGAGAATATAAAACCGCGTCTGCTATAATAAATGGGCACAATAATTCCCAATAGATTTTTAGAAGTCGAGACCCAGCCTAGCTCCAGATATTACAAACTAGATACTGTCAATGGGAAATTCAAGCACCCTTTGATATCAAGATTCTAATAGGAATTCTATGTTCTTCATATTAATTGAATTCATTTATTCAATTTTAATTTCACACTGATTTCCATCTCCATATTTAGGTTTTCCATTTTATAGATGTGGATGTACATGTAATGCACAATTAATATTATTAAAGTACATGTAGTTGATTTAAACAATATTTATTCAGTAAACTGAATAGATTGGGCTTAAGCCTATAGGTATACAGGTCAAGGTTACAATACAATGAACAGAGTATATATTAACAATGCATATTTAGTTTTCCATACGCATTCACACACACCCTCACACACGCAACCACACCCTGACTCGCACAGATCCAGATCAAAATAAGCATAACAAATATAAACATGTATAAAATGACAAAAATGCATATAAAAAAAAAGAAGAATGCGCTTAAAAACGTTTTGTTAACTTGATATATTCATGTACAACTGTACATTTTTTATAATATTGAGGTTCGTTTGGAACGAATACTCCGAACTCCCTTGTAAAAGAATTTTTAGATCATAAGGTACATCAAGCTCATTTCAGTTTTTTCTTAGTTTGTTTCTTTGAATGCTATATGCTGGACAATCCATAAAAAAGTGGTAATTACACTTCGGACAGGATGCATCGGCTATTATATAATGATTTTTTAGGTGTGCATTAAGATTACTAGCTTTATTACGTCTTGACAATGAAGTATATTCTCATTTCTGCTACCATAGTTGAAGTATTTACAACTGCTAGAAGGTTGGTTTATTTTTGACTTAAAAATTGATAAAGAAGGTTTTTCTCACATCAAATAAGATTATTCCACAGTTTTATGGTTGAAGGAATAAAACTTTCATAGTAAAAGAAAGATTATTACCATCTGATCTCAAACTGTAAGAGTTTGCACTGGTTGGAAGGGCTGTAATAATTCGTTAAGATAATTAGGGGCAATACCATGGAACATTTTATAAAATAATATTAGTTTATGGTTTGTTCTTCTCTGATATAATGGCTCCCAGCAGAGTTCGTCGTATAGATTAGATCTTCAAGAATTTACTCTCAGACCAGTAATAATTCTTGCGGCTTCTACTTGGATTTACATGTAGTTACATATATATGGAGCAGAGGTTCGGTTTTCGTATCTTATTTCTAAAAAACTAGGGTTCGTTTGTTTCTCATATACAAGTTGTGAAATAAATCCCAAGATTTTTTTTCTCTGAAATATTTTATTTTTGAATAAATTCTTCCCTTCTTGGGGGCTGGGGGCTTCGAACATGTTGAATTTACCTTATATTTCACAATAAGTTCAAGTAGACCTATACATAGGGGATCATTAATAATTCTACGAAAAAAAAAATCAAATAAACCGACATTTAAAAAAAAATGTGTAGGTGCATATTTTTTCCCTGAAAAAAGAATTCTCTGGTGATAATCAGTGAGGAATGTGAGTTCTGAGTATTTACCTGTACACACATTACTTTCACAGTGTTTTGAACATGCTGTAGATCGACATGGCAGAATGAGCTGGCAATATGTTTAAATAAATAATAACGAGAAAGGTTTAAGCTTATCAAAGTATTTTATACTTCTCCGTTAATTTAATATACACATCACTTCCATTTATGGGTATGTTTTACAGTGCTATCCATAACACCCACTCGTGTAAAACTGTCAACAACAAAAAAGCAAAACGAAAGTAAAATATGCAGGGTTTGTTTATTTCCGGTGTGACGTCACGAATTCTCCGCCATATTGCCTCGCTATTGAGGGTGTGCCAAAAACTCATTTGAGAATTTGAGCGGATTGAGGTATGTACGGCATAAAGTTTATCAAGCAGCAATAAAAGTTCCAAAACTATAAGCCCCATAATTCATAATTCTTAAAGAAAATTATAAGCTGTCTACGCACAAGCCATTTTCAGATATTCATAACTGCATCGTTTTGTCGGATGCTGGTGAATGCATTATCCCCAATTTGGTATCGAAATTTTAGTGAAGCATGTATCGTATACATTGTGTCCTAAAGGCCCATCATACGTCTTATATAAACTCTTAGAATCCAAATAAATAAGTACTTTTATAAACATGGTTTGTATAGAGGTGTTTCGGAAGTTTTTTCGCAGACAACACTGGTGTGTACAAAGGGAAACAACTCCGTGCAATTTTAAGTGTACATGCTTAGTTTTTCAGGTGTACTGTTTATAGTATTTAATTTCTGAGTTTAAACTAAATTCAAAGTGCAATTAAAAGTTTTTTTTTGTAATATTAACAACTTGGATGTATGTTATTTTTTTTGTAATTTTTAGAAAAAAATGAGTAATGACAGAGACACATTCACAATATATAAAGATATTGCTGCTTTTCTTTTATATTTGTATCTCACAATATACCTATAATCTTTTGAAATATTTTTCTTTAACGTTTTAAAATTATTTTTTCCCTTAAATTCAACCAAACTAGCAGCAAAATTTATGAAAGAGAAAAAAATGTGACCTCAGATACTGGGTGAAAGAAATGCAGACAGATAAATAAATATCATGGACATTGCCCTGTAGTTGTATTTTTGGTTTGGATTTCAAACTGTCACTGCGGTGCCCTGTTGTCTGTAATTCTGGTTAGTGAGTGCAAACCGTCATTCATGTGTTAGTCTATTTTGAGTCTCTGTGCCGTTATGAGGGTACCATGATGATGACCTGACTGTCTGATATTACACCCAGTGGGTCCTAGTTCATTCAGTGGGGAATTTTTTTTTCATGTAGTTTGCAATTCTGAAATGGAAAGGTGCACAAAAAGTTTATTTATGGAATTTTTATAACCAATACCATAGAATGATCTTCTCTGACCTCAAACATTTTAACCCCCCATGCTTTCCACAAGAACAAGCAGATGCAGTATGTGTTCCAATATAGTTCAAACATCTGTATTGTTAAATACCAAAATATTTAACATTGTATTTTTTTTCACTTGGTCATTACTACACACAATATGGTTATAAAACTTGTTGCTCCATCATGTTATCACAGCGTTTTCATCCGAGAGGTAGCGGAAATTCCTCACACTTGAAAATAAAGCAGTACTTTGTAGGAGTCGGGGACCACAAAGAGTTCATTGTTTGATGTTAGCTTACGGAAGGCAGAGGGGGAAAATAAACAATGTCTAACGACCTCTAATCCACTCTATACTAAATGACAAGTCTGTTTAACAGGGAAAGCAAGTGGTGAAATTTATTTATTGTTGGATAAAAAGTTTGATGGCTGTATGTGCTAATATTGTTGATACTTTTTTTGTTGTGGGGACATAGGCATCTTTTTTCAACTAGAGACTTTAAAGCCCCCCCCCCTCCCTCTCCCTTTTCAATGATACTTTTATCATTTGCATTAAAAAAAGTATGTTGTTCTAATTGTAAAGTAGAGAAGGGAATGTCTTCTTATTCTATATTTTTGGTAAATGAATTCAAGAAATAATATCTGTTGAATGCAGCTGTTCCTCAGAGGATAAAACAGAAATAAGCCTCAAAGGAACGGTTTATTTTCTGACTTTTCCGCTGACAGGGTCAGTTGTCTGCCTATCCTAGCACTGCTGTGTATAGACAATCAGAGAGAGGGCTTACATGTAATGACAGAATCACAGATAGATAGAGTTCTGAAGGAAGAGAGGGGATTAGACGTCTTATGTCAGAATTACATTACCATACATAGCAGGGGAGAAAAAGACGCAGGGCCAATGTTGTTTGGTAATATACAGCAAGGAGGCCAATATATTTAAAGGGTAATATTCTTTCTTGAAAGTCTACATCAAGTATGGCAAAAAGAGCAATATTCCTTGATATTCTTAACAGCAATACAGGCTGTTGAGGTTGTACAGAAATGATGCCCACATAAGTTATAAGTTTATAAGACTAACACAATATTTCCCCCCACCTCCCACACTTATGTGGGGGGGGGGGGGGGGTATCACGTTAGTCTTGTAGACTGACAAGGCCAAAATAAGGGCAATAGTTATAAATAAGAGAGAGCAAGTAAGTGATGAAAAGGGCAAATAGAATGTAGAAGAATTTAATTTGAAGAAAGTAAAAATGAAGGCAATAATTTTTGAAAATATACATCTCAAAGGCAGTTTATTTTAATGAAAGGGCCAATTTGAAATAGAGGCAAAAACTGAGAGCATAGGGGCATAGAATCCTACACTGTGGAAATTCTTATTTTGTCTTCTCTGGACAATATAAAAGAGATCTTACTGTTCATTGTTATGATATATTTATTGTGTTCTGTTTCAAAATAAAAAAGGAAATCTTACACTTTGAAAAACTTGTACATTGTAGGTCAGGATGTAAAATATATTTTTCATTCAGGAAATAAATAAACCAAGTCAGGGATATTTTTGTATTGGTGTCATTTTTGTGTTGTTGTGGATATGTAGATTTAGAAATGAGAAACTTTTTTAAATATAGGGAAGCAAAGGTAAGCATTAGATATTACAAATCACGCTGTGTTACAGCAACAAAGTGGGATCTGAAATATCTTACAGTAGAAGATTTGTTTTTTTAGACTCCTCCCAAAATCATAAAATGTTATAACATTAGAATTTTGATTAATGTTCCTGATTAAATATAACCTTTTATATTGACCTATTTTCTTTAAAAAAATTTTTTTTTGCTGTCTCAGAAATTTTATCACTGGATTTATTTATACCTATATTTTAATTTATTAAGTACTGGTAAATGAGCAGCAGATCTTCTTAATCAGTTTAGATATATAATAATATACCTGGTAGGAGCAAAACTTCCCTTGGGCACTATTAAATTTACATTGTTTCCAAAGCAACCCTTTTCAGTATATACCGGTAGTCGTATAAAAATTTTAGTTTTTGCTGATAATTGTTAGCGACAAAATGTAGACAAAATTTTATTCTCAAGAAATATAAAATTCTGCTTTTACAATTCCTGTAGTACTATTTGTATAACAGAGGTGGGTTGGATATTGATCCTGCATAGGATTATGCTAATAACCCTAACCATGGCCCCGGTATCACTACCTCATTTACATCACTATATATGGCTCATGTCATTTTTCAAATTGACTTATGAAAAATTCATAGCCGAGTAGATTTGGGTCTCGTTTTTCCTCGGTAAAACGTTCCCCTTAGGTCTTAAGCCCTGCTATAAGCTAGGAAGATGTATCCCATGTATAAAATAGCCTGCCCTCGTAAAGTTTATACTGGTTATATCTGATTACGTGCTAATGCATTCTGATATGGCTATGTATATCCTGTACGTTGTCTATATGTTTTTATATGATCCATTACGGCTATAATTTATGAGGTGGACATTGATATAAAGTCAGATAAATATGATGGGTGGAATTCTGACTGCTTCATATTATAGAGAAAAATGATAATAAAACGAGAGAGACAAAGACCTTCACAGACAAGGCAGTAATAGAGGCTGGGTTGTTATAAAGAGATTAACTTAGGTCTAGGAATTTCTCTATTATGGAAGTATGCAGAGATTATGTGGGAGGGGTTATATAGTCTATAATGCAGTCCTTAACTTAAAATATCTGAATTTGCATCTCTTCATAATACTTGTATACAAAACTCTTTCATTTTTCTTCTTGTTTCAAAACCATTTTTAAAATGTTTTGAAAATTACATGAACCATAAAATGTGATATATTGGTCTACTAAAGTTTTTCCTGTAGAATTATATGGGAATTACCATCCTCCCAGAAATACCTGTTAAAGTATCCCAATTTTTTGTGAGCAAGTTTCTTAAAGAAAGAGAACTTCAGTGCCTAATTCTTGGGAAAAATTATATATTTTGGAAGAATGTATCACTTGACCTTAATGCAGTGGGTATAGGTAGAATGCTCTGACTGTTATATTGAAATAATAAGAGAGGTCTGGATTGTCTTAGAAAGCAGTGTTTATTGTTGTTCATAATGTTTTTAAAACTAATTATATTCTGAAAAGATCACCTCAGATAACCCTGTGACATTTAACACCTGAGATACAATACACACTTAACACCTGTGTTAACCTGATTACCTGTCTGTAGATTACAGGTAAATCAATACACAGGTGTGATAGACAGGCCTAACTGACCAGTAGACAGACAGGCTATAGATTATTCATGGCTGATCGGTCCCCGTGAAGATTATCTTTGTGATGGTCAGTGGAGCGTGTAATGACTATATATAACACTTGATTGGATTAGGAGAAGACCAATTAACTTTGTCTGACCAATGTCAATAGGGGAAAGTATCAAAAGTAAAAAACAATATCTTGTGGACAGGCTAAATTAAAATTTGTAAAATACATTTGAAAAGTGATGGTATTAGCTGCAATACACTAAGTTCAATATAGTGCTTGTATATCCATATAGAGCAGAAGAGTTAAAGTTGACCAGAGTGTTTGGTAAATAATTATTGAAATAAAGAGGTGAATTTATCCATTTGCATAGGCTGTTTAAAAATTATTTCCAGTTGCTTATTTTGCCACTTAATATGAAATTTGATGCAGTGAATTCCAATTATTGAAACGGCTATAAATCACCTATCACCCCTTATTGAAAGTCCTGTGTTATATACTCAGTACTACCACAAAAAACAATTTCTTAGATTTTAGATATATAGCTCTGCTTTAAAAGTGTGTCCTATACAAGATGTATTCTATATAAGGTAGATAGTGTGTTTAAGGAAATGACAAATTTTTATCGTGACTTGTAAATTTTGTAGGCTGGCTCCATGAACAATAAAGAGAAGGCTGAGTAACAGAATAAAGACCATGTAACAGGTGAGTTTGTTTGTTTGTTGTTTAACGTCCCTCTCAAGAAATTTTCACTCATGTGAAGATTCTACCACTTGCCGGTGGAGAGCTGCAAATATATTTGCCTATACATGGCACTCAGGGCCATTGAGCAGGGAGGGATCTCAGTTCTGGATTAGAAGAGAAACTGTTGACCTGTACATGTATAGAACGCTTCCCAAGCTGAAAATCACCAATTGCTGAAGTCGATCCTTAAAATATCAAATGGAGTTTGTCAGGGGTACCATAACCAAGTATGGACTAACTACGGCTCACTGAGATGCAGAGAGAGAGAAGAGAGAGAGAGAGTATCAATAGATTATTTCAGATTTATACTGCAATTAGAAGGTAACACTGACAGTTCTTTTGATGATACACTAATATACAGTATGGTCAGTTGGATTGTGATGTAACAGGAACAGTAGGCAATTTACAAACATTGAACAACATAGCATCCCATAATAAAGGATGTACATGTACTTTAATATTATGTCCAGTGAAGGAGTGAAGTACAACAGGATGGTCCAAAGTAATTTATTTGTGGTCTGAAGGATGCTGGACATAAGTTTAAATTGTGTTACTGTACATGTTAGCATCTGCCTGGTGTTTTGTATGCCCTGTCTGGATTAGGTTTATGTCCCCCCTCCTCTCGCATTTCAAAGTATGGTTAAACTGATGAGAGGGCCTTAGTACAGGCAGGATGTGTCATGCACCACCACCCCTTCCCTTCCCTCCCAAATTAAGCACCTCAACATATCAGTAAACATAAGAATAAAAGAAAAATAAAACACTGAGTTCATGTCCTGTCCACTATCCAGTTTTGTTTAGATGAGTAGATATTGAGTAGGTATTGACAGAGATTCTGAGTTCACGCCCTGTCCAGTTTTGTTTAGATGAGTAGATATTGAGTTAGTATTGACTGAGGTCACAGATTCCAGGAAGTGATCTGAATAACAGGGGAAGATAACTCTCAGGTATTGATCTCAGTGACAAATAGAGGTCACTCATGTACTGTAATATGATGATTGTTACTCACTCAGATTCATAAAAAATTATTATATAGATTTTCTGGAGGATATTTGGTCTTTGAAATAACATTGTTCAAACATCAATGTATGCTTTGCAATTAAAAACAGCCTTTGAATCATTTCTTGAGCTCCTCCGTAAAGTGAATGACCTTTCATACAAGATACATCAGCCCCTGACTTGAATTCAGAGATTGAACATAAAATTTGATATGTGTAACATTTTCAATTGACCCTTTCCTGCAGTTATCTATGATCTTGATAATATTTTTCCCTGTTCTAGCTCATTTAACCATGATATTTCTATAACTTCTGTGTTTTATGGAAATCTATTTACAGTAAATGCCAACATTCAAAAACAAAACCTACAGATTGTGCATTCCTTCAGATCCTGTCTGTGAGCCAGTAATTAATTAATTAAACCCTCCCCATCTCTCTGTGAATCCCCCCCTCTACATGTCTCTCTCCCTGACTCACAGAAGTGAGCTGGCTTCATTAATCTTCTCCTGTTTACAGTGGCTGCCTATAATTATATGCCTGACTTCCAACTCTTTCATGTGTGATCCTGCTTCAGTTCCTAGTGCTCCATGTGTACGAAGACTGCACCATTCCCACTTAACAGTGTAAGGGAGGAGGGGCTTCTAATACTCGTCCCCCCCCCTCTCACCCCACCCCACCCCTCTGGAAGATTTAATTTTGAAGGGGGAAGGGGCTGTCCTTATAAAATAAGGTTTTGGGAAGATTTCTTAAAATTTGATTGATGTTGACGTGACAAACTCTTAGAAGTTGAGGTGAATGTACTCATTCCCATTATGCCTGTTCAAGTCTAGTGAGCTAATCCCTGCTTCTAATTACTTATATCTGAATGAACAAACCGTTAAAAAATATATCATTGAGGGATTTGCAATATTTCAGGTTCCCCTGCATCTGGATTTTCCCCTTGACTTTGCCTTGGGAAATTTCCCTGGCCTCGGGAACCTGTGTCTTGCTAATTTAACTCTCTCAATGATGTACTTTTAAACTATCTGTAATAGATGAGCATCTGCTTTTGATATGTCAAGTAATAAGCTGCAAAAGTTCATCTGCAAATTTTAACCCTAATCAAAAGTAAAGAAAAATGTTTAATTTGTAGTTTATCTTAGGCAAAATGGTCTGTAATATATAACATAAATAAATTTTATAACATTACAGCTGCTTATGTGTAGAGATGTTGACCCTATGAATGCTTAGGCTTGTAAAATGCATTTGTCATGAACACTTTGTCATACAAACTCTGTCCTCTCCTAAGGGATACTTGATTCTTCTGGTAAGGATTAAACCAGTGTTAAGTGTACCTACTTATTCCTTCATGTAAAACTTCTTATATTTACCAAGCAAAGGGACATGGCTTGAAGTGGAGTAATTTTCGCCATTGTAGAAAAAAAATTCCACGCATACTTCGTCCGTTTAACCATTTCCGTAAAACCTTGCCCCAACTACTTGGTTCACTTAAAAAACGCCAAAAATATTATGTCATAGTTTTATAACTGAAAATTAGGCATTAAAATGATAATGCCACAAGTTTTACAATAAAAGTCAAACTTATTCCAAGGGGAATTTTCTTGATGGACAGACTTAGTTGTATTTTGATGGTTTTGAGACATCCCCTGTAAGACTTGCCCCCTCTGTGTAGATCTGGGGATAAACAGGAACTAGATATAGGAAGTGATTGATTCAGGGTTAATATTTCTTACAACTGGGGCTGAAGTTTGTGTGTTGTTATCAAAGTGAAAGTGAAACCACAGGATAGACATACTGACAAACAAACAGAGACAGGAACACCTTGTAATTGATGTTTTTTACCGGGATTTATAACGTAATTAACTCAACACAGAAGCCAGGAAGGTGATAAGACAAAAACGTGGAAGCTAAGGGCTGCTGATTCATTACGCTCTGATTCAGAATCTGTTGTTTTGTGTGGATCATAGCAGTATGTAGTGTTTATTAAGTACACCCAGGACTCCATCTAGGCTTAATAGGTAAGGGCTTGTCATTTTGTAGTATAGTGTGATTTGAAGATCACATGGTTAAAAAATTTTGGGGGTACAGAAAATTACTCTTTGGGTGAATGATGCATTTCCTGTCAGTAATAGAGGGGTGTGTGTGTTGGCAAGTAACTGTTGAAATATTCCATGTAGATTCAGCAAAATGGAGAGAGATCAAGAGAGAGAGAGTGTGAAAGCTTTTTGAAATGGTGGGAGGGGGAGAATTCAAACTAAGGTTTATATCTAGTATGGTTTTGTTGAAGAGAGAGAGAGAGAGAGAGAGAGAGAGAGAGAGAGAGAGAGAGAGAGAGAGAGAGAGAGAGAGAGAGAGAGATGTTTATCCTTGATAAAGTTGACTGTTGTGGGAAGTTTTTGAATGGTGCATTACAACATGTCTACCTTAATTAAGTTGCCAATGCTGGTGATATGTATAGGGGCTCATTGTTTCAGCAGGCCTAGTAGTTATGTGTAATAGACTCTGACAGATGTGATACTAGGAGAAGATCAGGCACTGAGATTTATAGGTGTATATATTGATAACCTACTGAGGAGTGGATCCAAGTTTCCTTTTATTATGTTTTAAAACACTCCTTTAGGGAAAAAGATAAAACTTGACAATGTATAATGTATTACCTCTGAATATTCCCCTTTAAGTAAATTGAAAGAAAAAGATCTCAATAGCTGATAAAGATCACCACAGCATAGACATGGTTACCGGTAATTGTTTTAAGGTTGTGACCTCACCCCCCTATGCCTGCATTGAATACTGAAAGTACAGATTTCCATGTGGTTAAAATAGAATTCTCTAAATCAATACTTCTATTCATAAAGTGAAAATGAAAGTAAAGGTGATATATAGGGGATTTCCATAAACTATGATAAAGACACAGGTAAAGAGGTAGGGAAATAGTACATGATTTTCCTTATAGCTGCTTTACTTCCTTGCACAATTAGACAACATTTCTAATATGTAATTTTTTTTTAATTCTAAAAGTATTCAATGCCATATTGCTCTCTCTCTATATATATTTCATGCAATTTCCTCATTCTTCCTTAAAGGGGGGGGGGGTAACTGATGTATAAATATCAGGCTTGTGGAATATATCTTTTAAAACATATGTTAGCACATGTATATTTCACAATTTAAAAGATATCACACAGTGTATACACTGTTTATCTAATCTTGTCTAGCATGATAGATGAATGAAGCCCAGCTAGGCTCTCTATGTATATCTGGTATAGTAATAATAAAATGTGTTCTATAAAGATAACAGCAGTTCTAAGATATTAGATATTAATAAAACATAATGTTTAGATAATTAGTGAATATTCTATGTAAATCTTATAAAGGGGAGGTCAGGTCATTGTGGAGGAATGTACCATGTATTTTTCAAGGGGTGATCAGGGTGATCATTGTTAAGATTCTGACTCTGCATTTGACAAGGACACACATTGGAAGGGGACATGTTAACTATTATCTGTGTAGTGGCTGCATGTTATGTAATATAATTATGATGGTGTGTAACTAAATTACACATTAATGTAATATTACACAATCATAGATATTGGTGGTCATTTTAAGGTCATCTGGGCCTTCAGAGTGGGTTTAAAATCTTTTGGATGCAAAACTGAGCAGCTGTTCAACCCTTCATCAAGAGAGTAAGAAATAGTTATTGGGTTAAAATAACAATATATGCACTATTGGTCTTTATAAACAAAGTTATAGATAAACACCACACACTGACACAGTAGAAATAGGGCCAAACTGAATGACAGAATATGAACCTGATGTTATGTAGAGGAGATTTATATGCCCTGTCCTTTATTATTTGGCTGTTATATAACTACTCCTGTATCTTCTACACAAGGACACTTTATGGACTACATTACAACCTACGGTATCATTATACCCAAAGGATATACTGTATATATTCTTGTT